GCTTAGGAAGTGTGGCTTAGATGAATGGACGGTGAGGTGGATTGAGAACTGGCTCACAGATAGAGCTCAGAGGGTTGTGGTTAGTGGCGCAGAGTCTAGTTGGAGGTTAGTAACAAGTGGTGTCCCTCAGGGGTCAGTACTGGGCCCAGTTTTGTTCAACATATTCATCAATGATCTGGATGAAGGGATAGAGTGTACCATCAGCAAGTTTGCTGATGACACAAAACTGGGAGGAGTGGCTGACACGCCAGAAGGCTGTGCTGCCTTACAGCGTGACCTCGCCAGGCTGGAGAGTTGGGGAGAAAGAAACCTTATGAAGTTCAATAAGGGTAAGTGTAGGGTACTGCACCTGGGGAGGAATAACCCCATGCACCAGTACAGGTTGGGGGCTGACCTGCTGGAGAGCAGCTCTGTGGAGAGGGACCTGGGAGTCCTGGTGGACAACAGGATGACCATGAGCCAGCAATGTGCCCTGGCGGCCAAGAAGGCGAATGGCATCCTGGGGTGCATCAAGAAGAGTGTGGCCAGCAGGTCGAGGGAGGTCATCCTCCCCCTCTACTCTGCCCTGGTGAGGCCGCGTCTGGAGTACTGCATCCAGTTCTGGGCTCCCCAGTTCAAGAAGGACAGGGAACTGTCCTTTGCTGGAGAGGGTCCAGCAAAGGGCAACGAAGATGGTTAGGGGATTGGAACATCTCTCCTATGGAGAAAGGCTTAGGGACTTGGGTCTCTTTAGTCTAGAGAAAAGAAGATTGAGGGGGGATCTTATTAATACTTACAAATACTTAATGGGAGGATGCCAGGGGGATGGGAGTAGTCTTTTTTCAGTGGCGCCCAGTGATAGGACGAGGGGTAATGGGCATAAACTTGAACATAGGAAGTTCCATCTTAACATGAGAAGGAACTTCTTTACTTTGAGGGTAGTGGAGCACTGGAACAGGCTGCCCAGAGAGGTGGTGGAGTCTCCCACTCTGGAGACATTCGAAACCCGCCTGGACGCTGTCCTGTGCAACATGCTGTAGGTGACCCTGCTCTGGCAGGGGGGTTGGACTAGATGATCTCCAGAGGTCCCTTCCAACCCTAACGATTCTGTGATTCTGTGAAAACTATCAGATACCTTCTACTATGGCTTTTACTTATAGCCACATTTATATCCACTGCTCAGTAGCATTTTGTGCCACAAAGTTTACCAAACAGACCTTCTATATATTTGTTTCTTCCATGTACTAAGAATTACCTCCTCTGTCTGAGGAGAGGGGGGGGATAAAAAGGATACCGAAAAGGATCCAAGTATCCTTGAGACCTGCACCAACACCTGGGCTTCAATTCTTCCAGTCTTTGTTGACACTTCATACACGAGACAAAAACAAACAAGACTGCACGCGTCCAAATAGCAGTAACAGTGTCCTAGCAAATAAGACCGTGGAAAGATGACACAAAGGAAAAGGAAACCTCTTTATCAAAAGAAATTCAGTTGGAAGAAAATTCTTAACAGACAAAATGCCAGGAACAATTAAAATACTCAGCTGCCTGCAATTTATAAACATTCTTAAAGTTTCTGTAACTTGGATGGAAATCTGGGTTACAGTTCACAAACTAACAACCAACTGTGTTTGTACAACCTTCTATTACACATGCATGCTTTTCTCCCATGCATGCAACACCGACAGGTGAGACAACGGCCATTTTCAGAGACTTCTATGCCCCTGCCATTGCTCTCCAGAGCCAGCCTGTCCCTACGCCAGCTGAGTATTTCACCAACACGAATTGAAAACTGAGATTTTCTTACTGCAACGGTGAAAAGCGGGTCGCTTTCTATGGCTTACAGTTCAGAACTACTTTTAACCCCCATAAACCACGACGATGAGGAAAACAAGCCTCTGCTGCCGAGGCAGGGAGAGCCGGGGCAGGGCAGACCGGGCGGTCGGCGCCGGCATGCCAAGAGGGGG